TGTTCAATGCTTGCCTAACATCTAACTTGGTTTGCGTCTGACTGACGTTACTGACCTGGTGGCTCGTTCGTTCGCTCAGATGAAGGGGATGCCTGCTTTCCCTGGCTCCCACGACCTGCGTTTCTGTCAATTTGTTGCCGATAGGAGCAAACACTTATTGCAACCGGTGAGATTAACTTCTAACAGACCCTAGCCTGTATATCCTAGTATCCTTAGAACCAATTTTTAATTCCAATTTCCTCTTTTTTTATTTTTTTTTAATTTTTTATTTTATTTTATTTTATTTTTATTTCATTTTATTCTATTTTGTACTTTATTTTATTTTATTTCGTTTTCTTTATTATTTTTTGTATATATATATATATATATTGTTAATGCTCTATTTCGTAATATCCTAAGCATATATATATATATATTATAAATATTAATAATATATTGACTTTAATATTCTTTTAATATAATTCTTTTATATTATTAACGAAAGTATTAATGGTTTATAGATCTAAGAAAGTAATTAGCAACATAGAATTAAAGTAAAAATTATACATATATGTGAAAAATTTCCTTCATGATACAATTGAGCATTAATTTAATTAATATTTAATGTTGTTACGAAAATACAGTATATTTATTTTTTACTACAATTTTTTCAATTCAAAAATTCTAATTTAGAATATTACATGACAATTGATAAAAAGATAATTTATTCAATGTATGTGATAAAAAAAATTAATCAGTTATTTTCAGATACGTTACATGTATTATTATATCTAATATATCATTAAAAATTAATGAAATTATCGCTTCTAAATTTTACGAATGAGCAACCGTTTAGTGCTATATAAACAAATTGATATGATAGATATGATATATTAATATGTTTCATATATTTTTAATATCGTGTTTTTTTTTTATTAATATTTATTATTATTACTATGGTTGCTATTAAATTTTTACCTTACGTTATTATCATTTTCGTCGTCATCGTCATCGTTGTTATCATCGCCGTGATCGTCGTTATAAGCATTATCATCATCATCATCATTATTACATCATCATCATTATCATCATCATTATCATCATCATTATTTCCATGAACATTATACCATCATCACTATCTTCACCAACACCAACACCACAATCATCGTCATTATCATTATCAATTATTTTACAGTAAATAAAAAAGTTTTCTGTATATTATAACTGCTATACTTTAATTCGATTTTCACTTTATTGAAGTTTAATATTTTGTACATCTTTAAAAAAAGTAAATTTTACTTCTGTAGAATAATGTCGATTATTAATTTATTAATTTTATGTTACCAAAATAATATTGGTAAATTTACTGTAAATAAGTTAAGTTGATCGATAAAAATGTTCAGATTCTCAAATTTTTTTTTCATAACACTGCATGTCTAATGAATGTACAAAAATTTCATTGATAAATCAATGCCCTTTGATTGCCATTGTCTTGAGTGTTGCCTCTAATTATTATGTTATTATGCTTTCCTTCAAATTAATTATTCACTTTGAACAAAAGAATCGAGCATTCTTTTTCGAATTCAAATGGGTTTGCTAGCTTTCGTTTTGCAGAATAGAATTTTTTTCTCTTTTTTTGTTAAAAATAGAAAATTATACAAAAATTATACAGTAAAAAAATAATTGGAAATCTAGTGGACCCAAATACGTATCGAGCCTATTTAGCGAGCCTATCGAGCCTAGATTAGATCAATAGATGAACGCTTTTTAAACAAGCACATTGAAAGGGAAAAAGGTATAGAATAAATAAGGAATATTTTATTAATATTATGTGTAACTCAATACGTTTTATTTCGTTAATTTGTTAATATATCTATCCAAAAAGCTATTGTCTCAAATTTTAATCTCAAATTTTAACTTCCTAATTGGCAACGAAAGAAAACAATATTAAAAAACTTGATAGCATGCGTTTATAAAACATACAACCAGGAATCAGACTAATTAATACTAAGTTATTTAATATTAAGTTTTATACATATAACTTGCATATGTATACGTATTATACATATATATATTAGCATTGAACGCCCCTCTATTTATTTATTTATTTATTTATTTTTTTTTTTTTCATTTTCTAATATATGTGCGCTAAAATTTATAGAGTTACATAGGTTAGTTCTTTTTTTTCTTTTCTAAAAAAATTTGTAACATACGTATTGTTTGTGAATAATTGTTCATTAATAATTATATAATCTCTATGTGCATAACAACATTCAAAATTTTATTTCTACAGATCCTGAAGCATAAAATCGATGGTATAAGAAGAATCTCCTCGCATCCACTTTTACCATTATGTAAGTATATTATCTATAAATTTTAATAAATTAATAATTTCAAACAGAATATAAGTACTCAATATGTAAACAAATATGTAAATAAATTTTTTTAATAAAATTTTAAACAATTAAATTATTATTGATATAGCTGGATGATAATTCTCTAATGTGTAAATGAACAGACTTGACTGGTTCTCAAGATGGTTCAGTATCTCTTTGGGAATGGGGACATCAAACAGCAGTAGCAACTCCTAGACCACCAGGCACTTTTGCCAAAGTAACACGTGTACGTTTCTCACAGCACGGAAATAAGTTTGGTGTTGCAGATTCTGATGGACATTTGAGTTTATTTCAAGTAGCTTGCAGAGAAGGAACTGCACGACCATTTTTCGTAAGAATTTTTATCTTTAATCATAACTTAATTAGTTTTTTATCTTTAGATATATATATTACAAAAATTAGATTAAATGAAAATAATTTGTTCCGTTTCTGTCACCAGAATTATCAATGTCATAGTAAGGTGACGGCCGATTTTGTCTTCCTTGGTGCTTGCAGTTTAATAGCAACTGCCGGTCATGGTTCTGAAGGACGTAATGTTGCTCTTTGGGATACTTTACTTCCACAAAATAAATCTTTAATTCAAGGTGCGTAATTTAAAGTCATTTTATTTACATATTTTTGAAACATACTGATAATTGTTATAAATTTTATATTATGTATATGATGTTTATTTACCTTAATCTTTCTATTTATTAGGTTTCACATGTCATGAACAAGGAGCTAGCTCTTTGATACTTGCACCTCAACATCAGTTATTAATTAGCGGTGGAAAAAAAGGTGATATTAATATATTCGATGTTCGACAACGACAGCAGCGACATCGATTTCAGGCTCATGAATCGGCTATCAAATGTTTAGCTCTTGATCCACATGAAGAATTTTTTGTGAGTGGAGCAGGAGATGGTGATATTAAGGTAACATATAAAATATTTATAACATATATTAATAATAAATGTTAATATTTAGTATATAATAATTCATATTAATTATTTTCCATCAGATATGGGGTTTAACCGTCCATTCTTTGCTTTATTCTTTTCCTGGAGAGCATCCGCGATCTAGTTTCTTTAAAAATATTGGACAAGTAAGTTAATTCAATAATGTATGTTATAATAAATAATAATATTAATAATTTTCTCTTAGGGTGTAACACAATTACACGTCGATTCTGCTGGTCGTTTATTTTCATGTGGTGCAGATGGATCTATGAAAGTTCGTCAGTTACCAGAACGCGATTGCGTCGTACATACTTTATACTAAAGTAACTTAAAAACATAATAACATTCTGTTAGCAAAATATTTTAACATTAAGCCCATTTGCCTATAAAACAATTACTACTAGTATAATTACCAAATATACAATTATATATTTTCCTTGTTAACTTTTTCTTAATCGTTTGAGATTGATTGTTGAATACAATGAAATACTAAACTTTAAATATCAGTATATAACAATATAGAAAAAGAAAAAAAAGAAAAATTATTATACTCATATTATAAATATGAATATATTCAAATTGTTAAGAAGATAAAATAATCACTGAAAATATTTTTTCCGCGTTCAAATGTAAATTTATTTACTATTAAAATATTGTGTTTCTTTTATTGTAAGTAGAATTAAATATTTTTATCTGTATTATGTTTCATCGAATATTATTAAACATATTTATGCGCGTCTAAGTAATTCTCATGTTATATTTTTTTGATTTTCCAACTTGGACATCATATTAATTATTATTCCTTTACATAATGTATATTTCTGTACTATAAAAGTACATAAAGTTAAAAATTAGCAAAAATTAAATAATAAGTATTAAACATATTTATATTATCTTCTTTCTACATTTACAATCTAGTATTATGTAATTGTCTCTCATAAGATACAATTGTTTCCGTATTTATTAGTTCCGTAATTCGATATTTATATTATAAAATTTTTGTTAGAGATTTTTTCTTATAAGGAAATATTTAAATGTATTATTCGATAAATGTGTAAATTGACATGAATGAAAATATAAATGAAATAGAACATTTATTATTTATCGTATTGTATCATTTGTGTACATACGATATAAAATATAAAAGAAAAAAATATAGAATTGAGTAAAAAAAAAAAAATAGTTATAAACTATTTACAACTAACTTTTGTGTATATAAAATACGTAGCATTGTCAAAACGATTATTTTATGAAATATAATTTCATTAAAAATAAGTTTCTTTATATTTGATTCTCTTTAACATGTTTTGCATTTTTAATATCAATTTATAATCATAACTTTAAAAAAACTTATCTTAATTTTCTTTTTTTTAATTTATTAATTTATATTTTCTCTTTTTTGACTCTCTTTTTAAATTTTTATACTTATTTTTTTATCAGATATTGGCATTTTTTTTCGATATTTATTTTATTTTATTTCGATTTTTTTTAGGATAAGGATTTATGACTAATCTATTTATCCTCCATTTTATGTGTTACTATAACTTGAATTCATGTATTCTATTTATATAAATAAAAAATAAAATTACAGATTAGTAAATGAAACAAAAAGTATATAAGTATATATTTTAATCATGAAATATTTTTATAATTGAATTAATTAATTTAAAAGCTTAGATAATTTATCTATTATAATAGAATGAATGTTTATATTTCGATATAAATAATATATAAATAATGTAATTTAAGGTCGACAACGTTCCAAAAATCGTGGATAAAGACATACTTCGCGTATGTGATATCTATTAAGAAGCCAACATAAAAATCTTTCAAGACCTAATCCGAATCCTCCATGGGGGCAAGTTCCATATTTTCGCTAAAAAAAGATTGAATGAAAAATTAATTCATATATTTATCATATATGAAAATTGATATTTACCTGATCGCTATACCAATAATATGGTTTTGGATCAATATTTGCGTTAGAATAGCCTTCCAATAATTCATCATAATTCCATATACGCATCGAACCCCCAATTATTTCACCAACATTCGGTAAAAGTACATCCACTGATTCTGTAAGACGTTTGTTATCAGCACAACGTTGCATATAAAATGATTTAATTTCTACAGGAAATTTGCACAACATTATAGGTTCATTTATTGTGTCGGTCATTTTTCTCTCTGGCATTTCTGGAATGTCCTATAAATTAAAAAAATTAATGAATAAAATTATTAACTCCGTCATTGTGAAATAATAATCAAGAAATTTAAAAAATATTGAACATACTTCACCAAATTCATAAAATGTTCCATCATCTTTGGTTATATTATTAGCCCGAAGATATTCAATTGCATCTTTGTAATCCATTCTTTTAAATGGTCTTTTTGGTATTTTAAAATCAGGATTTAATTCTTTAATAAGATAACCAAGATTTGAATTAAGCACACGATCAACGACATCACATATCATATCTTCTAATCGATTCAATAAGTCTTCAAATGTAATAAATGCATATTCTGCTTCCACATGTGTATATCTGAAAAATAAAAATTTGATTTATATAATAATTATAATATTAATAATATCAATATATATTTTAATAAAAATATCACTAAGAAATATAAGAAGCTTCAAATTCTGTATATTTACTCTGCAAGATGTCTTCGAGTTCTAGATTGTTCTGCTCTATAAGATTGTGCGATACAATATACATCGCCCATTGCCGGAAGACAAGTTTCTAAATAAAGCTGTGAGCTTTGAGTCAAAAATGCTTCTTCACTATAATGAATGATTAGATTATTGAATAATAATTAAATTATATTAAGAATACAATATTTTTAAATGAACAATTTAAATTCAAATACTGCTTACCCAAAGTAATCTAACTTAAATAATGTTGAACCTCCTTCTACTTGCGTTTGTACTAACGTCGGTGGAGTTACTTCATAACAACCTCTTTCATTGAAATGATCTCTAAATGCTTGAGTTAACACAGATCGTAGACGTAATATACGTGATGTCTAAAATAAATTATAATTTGTTATATCATATATGATATCATGTAATAAAAATTATTATTCCATAATAATATAAATTTTAATGTTACTTCATGATCTCAATTTTTTCTTTTGTAATTTTTACATTTTTTTAATTAAAATTATCCATAATAATAATCAAATAGAAAAAATTAAAGTTTACTATACTTTTTATATATAGCTTATTATATATTACATATACTTTACATATATATATATATATATATATATTATATATATGTAGATTATATATTATCATAATTATCATACGTTTTCACCACGAATCATAATATGTCTATTATCTAACTGAACATCAGGAAGAGCTTCTTCATTTAAAATGGAATCTGCACCACCAGGAGGAGATGTTCCTATTAATCTCCAAAAATCAATATGCAATTCATGCCCATCTGGAGCCTAAGAAAATGAATTAAAAAGCTAAAAAAATTAAAAAGCTCTTATTAAAATTACAAATACATTTGATATAATACATTTTTTCCCTCTGGTACAATCTTGAGAGTTCCAAATACTTCAATGGAAGCTTCAGTAGACAAGGTCAATGCATCATATGTTTGACATAAAATATCAGTAAATATACATTGCAGAAAACCTGTTCCATCTCTCAAAGTGATAAACATAAGTGCTCTTCCTAAAAATGTTATATAATTAATTTTGATAAATATAATTCATAATATATAAATTATATTATACCTTGACGTCTAAGTCTATGTACCCATCCTAAAACTTTTATCCGTTGATCTCGATACTTAATACTTTCTCGAATTTTTATACAAATTGCAGATGGCAAAGTATTATCTTCTTGAATTATAATTGTTTTAGCTTCTTCCAAATTTTTCAATCTTTTTTCTTCATCTTCTAATAATTTTTTTTGTTTATCTTCATTTTTATACTCTTTCCTTGCCCAAATTTTATGCATTTTTTTTAATTGAGATTTTGATACTAATTCATACTCTTTATCATCCTTAGGAGAATTTTGATAAATTGGTGGAAATGGTTCTTTCCCTGCATGACACATTGCTCTTAAAATTGTCTTAAAAGGATTAGTTTTAGAACCATCACCTGTCTCATCGTTTCCATTCTTTTGAGAAATATAAATTGCATCTAAAGAAAAAATATAAAACTTTTTTATTCCTTTATTAAATAATAATAATTATGATAAATTTTATTTTCAAGAATTTAAAAAAACAAATATTTTACCTAATAATGATTCAGAAGACTCCATCGCCGGCATATTATTTTTTGATTATAATTTTTTTAAATTTATTGTATTATAATTAATTATTTTAAATAATATAATTTAATAATAATACAATTTTACGATATAAAATTATAATTTTATGATACAAGAATATAAAATTCAATATAATTTGAAAATATTGAAACTTGAATGATGTAATTTCCACGTCGATGATACAATATAGATCTGCTTACTTATGTAGAACTTACTTCGATAAAGTTCAGTATATATTGAATACGCTATATATTTTTATCATAGTTGCATACTTTTATCATAGTTGCATACTTTTATCATAAGTTGCATTGCACTTCAGATAAGAATGAAATGATTATTTACTTTTATGTTATATTATAATTCAAATTTATATAATATTTATATGATTTAATTAAAATATAATATAATTATTTCTTTATATATTAAACAATAATCATTAAATTTTATTTATATTTTATTTTATAAATAATTTGTAATAAAAATAAATAATTATAATAAAGAATATATTGTTTAATCAAAAATATTATTGATTAAACAATCTTAATATTCGAAACAAACAAATTACTATTGTTACATTAAATGAATGATATTTAGCATTATATACAAGATGGAAAAATCGAAATACTTAAATTTACTTTAAAAAATAATAATTTCTTAGTTATGTTTGCTTTCTTGTAATTCACTAGATTGCGCGATGTGATAATCGCATATCATATATACCAACTTTACAAGTGGTATAGAAGAACATCATTTTGGAGTCGACTCAAAAGAAATGAGAAATTGATTGAATTACATAGTTTTAATACAGAATGTGCAGAATTAGAATTTTTAAAAATTAATCTCTTAAACAATGGCGGGATTGGAAAGTTACGAAAGAGTATATCGAGGAAAACCTATTAAATCTTGGGAAACTGAAAGTAATTTTCCTCATACTTACTTTACACAAGAGGTTATTCGTCCTTTGGAAGTTCCTGCTGTGCATCCTTTAGTTGAAGATAGTCCTCCTTCTGAAGGAGGTCAGTTTTAATCAAAATATGAAATTTATTAAAATATAGTAGAAATTTTAACAGAAAACTTTTTAATTTTTAATCATTGCTGAAGTTAAAAAAATAATATCTTGTACAGATCTTGCTGTAAAAAAGTATATGGTTGCTGGTTGTGGATTAGCAACTTTAATTACTGAAACTTTGTTAGTTCATCCACTTATTGTTCTAAGGAGACAATGTCAAGTAAATCCTGGATTGAACAAATATCATATAATACCAATTACTTTGGTACCTGTAGTTGTACGGCTTCATCAAACTCAAGGAATAAATACATTATGGAAAGGAATTGGATCAGTATTGCTTGTAAAAGGAATGTTGTTAGCTATTGAAGATTTCATTTCTAAAATAACACCATGGCCAAAGTAAGGTGATCTTTGTATGATCTTAAATATATAATAAAATATATAATAATTTCTCTCAAATTTTTATAATAATAGTTTTATAATAATATTTTTATAATAATAATTTTTATAATAAATTTTTATAATAATTTATAATAATTTTTATAATAATATAAAATTTTTATAAAATTTTTATAAAATAATAACAATAATAATAATAAAGAAATATTTATTAATTTTAGGGAAATAACATGTAATAGTTCACTGAAAGCATTTGGTCAACACGTGCTTCTTAAATGGTAATAATATACCAATATTATTACATTTCTCGTTTTAAAAATTACAGAAGAAATTAATAGAAAATATGACAGTGTTTCTATAGGTTTAGTAACACCATTTTATTCTGCATCATTAGTGGAGACAGTACAATCTGAAATTGCATCTGAAAGTCCTGGAATATTAGATGTTTTTCGAGATGGTGCAATTCGTTTAGTTGAAGTGAGCAATAAAGGCAGATTAATTCCCATTTATTCTCTTCTGCCACCTACAGTTGCTTATGGAGTATCCAAATATCTTTTTACTCTAGCTGTTCAAGGAGTTACCAGTCGTATTATGCATATTAGGCAAAAACAATCTCAAGAGTTAAGGGTATGTTTTATTTATTGACAAAATAAAATTTTATCTTGAATTTATATAAAATTATGTATTTAAATGTTATTTATATGTAATATCAAGGGTGCATATAGCAGGGATTTGCTATCAGAAACTGTTGCACAAGATATAGAATTACAGTCATCATTAATTTCTACATTTATGGCAGAAGCATTGTTTTATCCTTGGGAAACAGTGATTCACAGACTTCATCTTCAGGGTACACGAACTATTATTGATAACCTGGATACAGGACGCAGCGTAACACCATTATTAACAGGATATAGTGGTGCAAGCGATTGTTACAGTACAATTATATCTACTGAAGGTCCTCTTGGTTTATATAAAGGATTTGGTGCTCTTATTTTGGAATTTTCCATAAACCTTGTCATAGTGAGGGTTGTTAAATGGGTACTGACAGAATTAAGAACATTATTAAGACCAAAACCAAAATCAACACGTGATCCATCACAATGGTATTATAATGATATATAAAAGAGCATTGATATTAGTTTAGTAATATCCTTTGTGTGTATTGATCAATCTAGATATATAATGCATATTGTATTTATATATATATATATATATAAAATTGTTATACTATATTAATTATTTTTTCCATTTATTATTATTAAATCAAATCAATAATGTAACACTTTCAGTAATTTTAAACACTTTAATCTTTTTTGATTTATTGCAAAAAAATGAATCAAATTTCTCCAAATTATTGTATATATAATTTATGAAACTTAAATATACATATTTAAATGAGAAATAAAAAAATATTGTTATTAAAATCATATATATGAAAAAATTATATTTATTTTATAAATTTTTTGCAAAGATTCATTTCATATTTTATTTAAAATACTTACGTCATAAAAATTAAAAATTGTAAAGATGCAAGTTATGAAACTATTCTAAATTAGTTATGGAAAATCGTTTTACACCTTATGATTTTCAATTCTTTATAATGGAAAAATAAATATATTAGTATTTTTGAAAATATAACATAATATTTACTTTCAACATTTGTTTACAATTTTATATGTATACAGTTTTTTTTTAACTTGCATCATATATTACACAGCCTTTCATTTACATCTAGTTTTTATATATATGTAAAATGAAATGAAACAACTGACAATAAAATCTGTCTCTAAGAAATAGTTAATGATCATTTTAGAAAATACATGCAGTTTTTAAAATCTTATTTTTTTTTTCTCCATTTTATTTGACATTATTAAAATTTATCATCTATATTTAAATATATTCACTCTCAATTTTAAAACTTAAATATATTTTATTTAATATTTGATAAAAAATTTTTCTTCTAAATTTTTGTTTAAATTCTTTCAATTATTTAGAAATAGTATCAAAGTAAAAGTTGAATCTATTTTAGATTATTTTGTTTTCTACAAGATATATTTATGTAACAATATATAATGTATCTGTACTAGTTTCGTGCAATTTTGATCATATATTTGTAACTTTTGTATACTTTTTAATAGTTTTAATATGGTATGTATAGAAACCATTTATATATATTACATAATATTATATAATATCCATAAAGTAACAGATATTAATTTTGTTTTCTATCTGTAATAATAGTGTATAGAGCAAACGCGTAAATAATAATTAGAGATGCAAAAAGAAGTAAAAATATTGCATTTGCAACTTATTTTTGCATTATAATATACTAATCTAAGTATATTTAAATGATTTTAATTTAGAAAAATCACAATTTTTTCTTCATTTTGTAAAATGAAATTTTTTTATATATAGACGTTTTTATATATGTGTTTGCACACATATCTTTATATATAATCTTTATATATATTTAAGAACAACTCAGTAACAAAATATTTTATATTGTTACGAATTACTTGAACACAAAATACATACCACAATTGATTTAATTTACCTATCTAACTTTTTATGAAATAAGTTAATATAGAATTATAATTGCCATATATATAATTTGTGTGATGTAATCTTTTGTTTCTTTTCATTAAAAAAACATAGATTACAGTCAACACATTATTTACAAATTTATATTAGATCAAAAACTATTATTGCAGAATGTGAATTTTGAACAATTTTCTTAAAAAATCGATCAAATATGTAATATATCTTCAACATGAATTATTTGTTAATTATGTATATGCTGAGCATGTAATTCTTCCTCAGTAACATCACCTCTTCTGATATATTGTGGTTTTTCTTGTCCTCGCACACACCCTTCAGTTACATGAACAGACATTACATCGCTACCTGGCACTTCGAACATAGGTTCTAAGAGTAGAGATTCCATAATAGCTCGAAGCCCTCTTGCACCAGTTTTTTTTTCCATTGCTAATGAAGCAATTGCATTTAAAGCTTCAGATGTAAAAGTTAAGTCTACCTATGAATATATACAAACAACTTATACAAACAATATATACAATCTTAAAGTGCATATACGCAAGAATTAAATAAATGTAATTTTAAATGTAATTAGTAAATGGATTATTGAATTATATAATATACTATATTAATATAGTAATTATAGTAAAAGATTATTAAAACGATAATTTGTACCTTATCCATTGAAAATAACATTTGATATTGAGGTATCATAGCATTTTGCGGCTCAGTCAATATTCTAACCAGCATATTTTTATCAAGAGTATGAAACGGTACCAAAACTGGAAATCTGCCAACAAATTCAGGAATCATACCAAAATCAATCAAATCTCTTGCTTCAACTTGCTGAAGCAATACATCTTTCTCTTTATTATCTTTTTCTGTAGAAGGCGACATATTTGCAACATCTGCTAAATTTGCAGCTCTTCTCCCTGGACTCTCAAAAGATCGTGATGCACCAAATCCTAGATATTTTTCAGTTTTACGTCGTGAAATCAACCTATCTAATCCATTATAAGCACCAGAAGCAACAAATAAAATATTTGTAGTATCAATTTGCAATGTATCTCCACGTAATTTTCTAGAGCTATTTCTTTCAGGTACATTCACAATCGTACCCTCTAACATTTTCAACATTCCTTGTTGGACACCTTCTCCGCCAACATCGCGTAGTTGATGTATGCCAGGAACAGCACCAATTTTATCAACTTCGTCTAAGAATACAATACCCATTTGCGCTCTATCTACTACGTAATTGGCATCCTGAAGTAGTTT